ATACATAAGTGTCATGAGAAATAATCTAACTCACCTAACATGTTAATATACAAACTCAATACATATTTAATTAATATTAAAGATGTTGGCTTAATAAAATAAACAAATTATATGACATCATTGGGATTTACTGTTTTAGTACTGTACTGGACAAAACCATATCTCATTCAAGTCTTAGCTCATTGCCATTAATACTATTCCTACCATCCTTCATTTAAAAGTGAAAGTTAAAAATTCAGAAACATAAAGAACTTGAATTTTCTTTTATAGTAGATTGCTATTTTTATTTCCTTTAGGAACTATTCCTAATAATTAAAGACTAATTATTAACGATATCCAGAGAGAAGGTGGTTTGTTGCTAGTAAAATGCTAAGAATAAGAAAAAACTATCAATCTTAAATCAATCAGAGAATATTTTCAGGTTAACAAAAAGTCAGACACTGGAAACCCTCATACATTGCTCATGGGAATGGAAAATGGTGCAGCATCTTTGGAAAATAGTTTGGCAGTTTCTCAAAAAGTTATACATAGAACCACCATACAACCTATCTCTTTCACTCCTAGGTATCTACCTAAGAGAAATGTCCACAAAAGACTTGTACATGAATGTTCATAGACATATTATTCATAATAGCTAAAAACTGGAAAACTACATGTTCATCAACTGGTGAATGGGTAGGCAAAAAAAATCATAACACAGAATGGAATACTGGTCAGCAATAAAAAGGAATGGATTACTGGCACATGCTACATCATGAATGACCCCCAAAAACATGAAGTCAGACACAAGAGATCATATATTATGATTCCATTTATGTGAACTGTTGAGAAAAGGCAAATTTATAGAGATAGAAAGTGTATTAGTAGTTGCCTGGGGGTAAGAATGGGGATTAGCTGTAAATGGCCATGTGGGATATTATTAAAGGGATAAAAATGTTCTGAAACTGATTTCAAGTGATGGTTGCAACATTTGGTAAAATTACTAAAAATCACTGACTTGTATAGTTGAAATGGGTGAATTTTATGATATGCAAAATATATCTCTTAAAATCGTTGTTGTTTTTTTAAAGTGAGAGGACATAAGAGCTGCCAAAACTCTCTATTTGTATAGAAGAAAAAAAGTAAGGCCCAAAAAGATTAAGCAACTTGTTTAAAGGTCACCCAGCTAGATCATGGAAAAGCAAAATAGAAAAAGATCCAAATCCAGCCTCATCCTCCCACCAGTCCAATATTACATCTATTACAAAATGCTCAAAGAATTTTTTAAAATTATAATACATAGAATTATTTGACAGGTATAGTAGAAGCATCGAAATTTGAAAAACTGAATGATTAAAACATACCCAAAATCCATGAGTACGTAATGATATTCAGAAAAAAATCTAGAAAAACTCATTTATCACTCTTTGAAGCAATATTACTTTCAAAATTGGTAAGAAAAAGAACTAAACATTTTTTTGTGTCTTTCGAATAGCAGCTGTATCTGGGGGAAAGTAAATGTTGCCAGTTTATGAAAGAAAGCTTCTACTCTACGAACGAATGCAAGCTATTAAATACAGATGGAATGAAAGAATTAGAAATTATCATTTTGCAACCCCTAATAAAATTATGACTCAGGCAAGAATTATTAATTATTGTTAAGGCCATTAAGTAAATGGATGATGGGGGCTGGATATTTGTAGAAAACCAAAATAGTACCTCACAGATTACTCTGTCTCGAGAAAAACAAAACAAAAAACAGAACATTACATGAGGGAAATTAAGATGTCACAAATCTAGGGGAGCCTTTAGCATTATGTCCAGGTTTACTAGAAATGCAGGACTAGAGGAGTAAGCTAAACACCAAGAGAAAGCAGTCAAACATTTACGCAGGTGAGATATTCTACAGGAAAATAAGCCTGATCTCTCTAGCTAATCAGAGAAAGAAAAAGGGGGTACTATTTTATATTTTAAAAGACTTGAAATACATAACCAAAAACAAAAAGTAGTCCTTAATTGGATCCTGGTTTAGACAAGACAGCTGGACAAAGGGCATCTGGGGGATAACTGGATAAATTTTAAGATGGAATATTAGATAACATCAAGAAGTTATTATTTTTTTTATTTATTTATTGTTTTTTGGGTTTTTTAAAATTTATCGTTGAGACCATTACAGATGTCCCTTTTAATCCACTGATCCCCTCCGCCCCACATCCATCCCACCCTCAGGCCCTCCCCACCTTCCCTGAGATCCCTCAGTTTGTTCCATGCTTCTTTGTCTCTGGATCCACTGTGTTCATCAGTTTATTTTTTTTATTATATTCCACATATAAGTTATACCACATATTTTAAATGTGCTATTTTTGTTATATAGTAATATGCTTTTACAGATATGCATACTGAAGTAGGTAGTGACAGATTTAGATGTCTATGGTTCACTTCAAAATACATCAATGAGTTTAAGATATAAAAAATTAAAATGCAAGTCTGAACTTCCTAATTCACTGCTGTTTCTGTAAATGCTCATTAATTTATGCACAAGGTATAATACACAGAAAGAACTCTTGCAGATAGAGGTTCAGAAAAGTGACCCACCATGAATTTTTTTTTTTACAGGTACTGAAGTGAAGAGCAAACTCAGAGGTAACCACACAATATCGTTGGCAACATCTTACGCTCAAGATACCGAAAAGCACCAAAGCAGCAGGAACAGAGAGTTTTGCCCTCAAAGCACTAAAAATACTTAATAAGAACAACTTCTTGGTGTTTACCACAAGAGGACAAGGCTGTTCCAAGATCATAAGTTTTGAAGCGGCAGCCTCACTAAAGCAATCCTCAATTATTACATAAAGTCCTGTTCCTTTCTGACTTCACCGCCCATTACAACCAGTCAACTACTACCCAAATTATGATGAAGTTAAGGGGCACTCTCTGGAAAATCCTTCTCTCAAGCTAAAGAAAATCTTTACTATAACCACCAGCTTCATTTCAACTAGGGCCTATAAATCTCAGAAATGGGACCTGAGAGCCTCCTTCAAACACCGGAGGAGAGGCTGATCCACCAGCCACTCTCGTTTGCCTTTTCCCCCCTCCCTCTGAATCCAAAGGGTGGCGCTGTCCGCACGCCTTCCCCACACACCCGGCGTTCGCGAAGGTGCCTTAGCTGGGTCTGACCAGAGGGAAGGTCCACGTGCGGCGTGGGACCGGCTTCCGGGCTGCCCCGCCCCGCGCTCCTCTCGGGAAACAGCCCGTGCGAGTTCGCGCACGAGTGCGCCCGGTCACCCTCGTTAGCGGCGCCGTCTCAGAAACTCTTAAAAATACTCTGGGCATGTGGAAGGACTGAGAAAGACCCTGGCGCTTTGGCTCTGAGTCTTCGGCCACCAACCGAGAAACGTATCAAGAGAGAAGCGTCACGACCCCGCGAACTAACCCGAGCTCCGCGACCTCCGCCGCCTGAACGCCCGAGTTAACCGACTCCCAGGCTACACGGGACTCGGCGTTCGCTGCACGACAGGAGGGGGCGCTCCGAGCGAGCACCTCCCACGCTTCCCGCTCCGCCCGCGTCAGCGGTCACGTGCCGCGTCTCCCTCCCTACCGGCAACCAGACGCTTCCTTCTTCCGGAAGTCGCTCCCATCAGCGCCGGCCGGCCCCCCCACCACAGGCGACGTCAAATTAAGCTCCTACCACTGCTCTGCCTTCGCCTCCAGACGCGGGGAGGGCCTCCGTTTCTTTACGATAAATCCTGCCGCTTCCGGGCTCTTAAACAGTCCAGAAGACGGTTTTGAAGTTCCTGAGTCTGCAGGCCCTGGAGGCGCGTGAGTAAAGTTAGAGAGGCCAGAGGCTGGTTGTCTGGGGGCCACCCCGCAGAGGCCTTTCCCCCTGTCCGCAACTGTGCTGCACTTGGTTCCGCCGAGACCCACGACGGTTCCGCCCCCTTCTTCCTTGTCATTGATGTTGTTGTTCTTGTCAGTGCCGCAGCCCCGACCGCCGGGAGCTCGAACCCGAG